GAAAGATTTCCTCCTATGCAACAACTGCAGCATGGGGCAGACACAGCTGTGGGAAGATCATTACGGAATGGTACCCACCCATCGTGTCCTCCGGTTGGGCTCTGTGCATCAGTAGCTGTCTCAAGCTCAACTTAAATTCCATTTCTTACATTAAACGCTCGTTTTTAAGGATGCTTTCCTTCTAAATCTTTCTGAGCAAAAAACAGGTTAAATCTGGAAAACAAGGAGCATTATGTCAATTGTTGACCTTATTCTTTGGTTGGTTTTTTTTGTTTCATATATTAATAAGTGAATGAAAATGCTCTTGTTAAGAAATCAAATGCAATAGAAACGAAGGGTTAAATGGTACTTGCTCACAGACAAGTCAGGGGGGTTGGGCAGCATTATTTTCTGCTGACATCGATCAAAAAAAGTCACCCCTTCTAATCTTGTCATTGGCCACAATAACATTGCGGTCATGGTCTTCGATAACATTTTCACCCATGAACAAAATAGAATAGAAATGAAGCTTTTGGGGGTGGAATAATACTGTTCATGTATTCTCATTAGCTTGCTGAAAGTAAGTGCGATCTGAGCGCTGGTAGGGCCGGGGCTCCGTGTAGTCGTTGTAGTCATTACCCCACAGCCAGCGCTGTGGCTTTGCCCTGTTCTTCCCCAGAAGGAACCTGTCGGTGACACAGGTCACCCATGGTTTGCTCAGTTTCACCCTTTCATGTTGAGAGCATGTCCAGTCCCATCCTTTCTTCTCAATGGCCTAAGAAAGGTGGTTTGCTCAGTTTCACCCTTTCATGTCGAGAGTCCCATCCTTTCTTCTCAATGGCCTAAGAAAGCCATAAAAAGTACCATTCCTGGTGGAGATGTCCAGGTCTCCCTTCCTAACGGGTCCTGGGCCTGAAGGCTGCCTCCTGGTTTGCTCCAAGGAGTAGCAGTACTTAGCTTTCATGGGCTTACAAAACTTGGGATAACTCTTCTGGCTTTGGCGTCAGGAGCAAGCGAACATCCTCTTTTTCACAATATTTATGAGGAACCGGTCTTTGGGTCCCTTTCTGCTGCTTGTAAAGTCAACGAATGATCCCTGAAGTGATCAAAAGACGGCCTAATTCCCGAGCAGCACCTGCTTAAGTAAGGGATGGAACATCCAGGATATTTTTTGATGCCTGTGCATATGCTGGATGACAAATCAGAGCAATGACTCCCTTTGAAACACAAATTTTCAGTAGCTCATTATGTGGCTAAGTCAGTGCTGGACGGAGCTGCTTCATCGTTCAGCAAACAGTTAAGATGCAGCATTGGGCTGTGGGTTTGCTAACTCCTCAGGGCACAGGGGGTTTTTTGCTGAAGGTTTCTTTATATTTTGCCCAACTTAGTGCTTTCTGTGTATCGTTGACTGTATTACGCTTACAGCAGCAAGAAGGAGCATCATTCTGCAGCGGAGGTTACAGCTGTGCTAAAAGCAGCTGCACATCTCGCTGCGGCGCCCGTTCTTACAGCCTTAGCATGATTTCCTTCTCAGGCCTGTACTAAAAATAGTTCCACTTAGGCAAGACCAGAATATTGCGGTTAAGGAAACAGCTATTCATAAAACAAATTTGTCCAGGAAATAAAAGACGGGGAAGGGCCGTATGCTGTGGCAAGTGTATTCATTGCCTGCTAAATCGTGACAGTTTTAAGGAGGGGTACAAATATCCACTCTTTGAAAAGGCCAGGATGCCTTGGAAAAGTAAATAATGTGGTTTTTTACAAGGCAACTTCCTAAGCGTTCCATTAAGAGAGGCCTCGTGTTCCCGTCCACTGCGTAAACTCTGATTCATCCGAGGCCCTGGAACAGATCAGGAGAGCGAATGATGAATCCTCCGTGTCACCTCGGAGGCAGGATCGAGCTTTAGGCGTGGAAACTTGAAGGAAGTTTGCACATACACACACAGTCTTGAATCCTATAAATAAAAATTCCGTAGTGCTAATAGAAAGAAAATTAAAGTATCTTGTGAGCCCAAGCTTTTAACTTGATTTTAATGTCAAAAGCTTTCATCTGGCTGAAGAAATGCCTGCTCTTCAGCCTTTACCGCTTCATCGAGGCGGCCTGGCTTGGTCTTGAGTCTCGCTGACAGTTTTATCTGACTCCAGACTGGCTTAAGTGGGAAGTGTTGATCTGGACAGGCCTGGCAGAGCTGGGCTGGTTATGTCGAACAGCTGGGAGTTTGCGCATCCGTGGCTCATCCGCGTGGGGAATTGGGTTGGTAAGGTTTGTCGTGTGGAGCCTTGCACAACTGGGGCGACACGTGCGGAGATTGGTCAGGGCGAGCAGCGTGGTGGGTTTAGAGCGGAGGCTTTGCACGGCGTGCGAGTTGTTGGTCAGTGAGAGGCAAGCAAATACAGAAATGTGTGAAGCTTTATGAAATGACTGTGTCTTTGAAAGATTGCCTGCGGTTCGCATGAAATGTTTCCTGAAGTGCATCTTAGGGTGAAATGATACTGGATAG